TGGAAATTTGAGACGGGTCAGCAAGGGCAACCTTAACCGTCGTACCTGCAGGAAAACGATCGTAGAAGACTGTCCATGAATTTTGAAGATATTTCTATTGGTATTCACAGATTTTGAAAAAATGGTATAGTCCAGCAAGATAAAAGGCAATTTTTACGAAACTACCTTTTTTATTTAGTTACACCAAAAACTACTTACATTAAAAGTTCCTATGATAAAGTTTTTATGCGATGGCTGACATTTCTAGTATCTTTATCTCGGTTTGTCCGTAAAGACTTTTGATCCTTATCAAAAACAGAATTGAATGGTATGAAAAAATATTTCGTGTAAATTGTCTTTAATCTTTCTAACTGAACCATTTCATCAATATTCTTGGAATGCCAATAGAAACATTTTCGACATTCGTGGACAATATTCTAGGGCCGTTTCCCTGTAGCGGCGATGTAACCTTAACTTACCGCCCTTGCTGACCCGTCTCAAATTTCCGCCTCATATATATTATATATTAAATCCTATAAAAAATAAAGGTATTAGAAAAAATAAGTGTAGGCAGCACACGAAACCTTTTATAACGTCACCTGTGTGTCGCAAGTCATTGTTTTTAAGAGGTGATGTCGTAACAAATTCTTCGTAAAAAGTTTGATAATAAACAAGCACCCATTGGTTTAATGTATAGTCAAGAACACGTCAAGCTTGACACTTTGTACTTTGGACCATTCTTACCGTCAGCGGCATAGAGTTGGATGTAAATCTTAAGTGTCAAGCCCGACGTGCTCTTGACCCTGTACAATCAACAGCACATCAAGATATAAGCTTTTATTCGAATATGAATACAATCCATCAATGTTTAGTTAGATATACTGCCGTCAGTACTAAGTTTCTCAAATTGACTATTGAAACAATTTGTGTGAATTAGAAAAAAGCTGTCACAACTCTAAAATATTTTCCTAACGAAATATTTTCTAAATTGTTAGCAGCAGTGAACCCCCTTAAGAAAGAGTTCGTCCAGGGAAGAATTGCCACCTTACCTATTTCTGCTGTCAAGCAGTAATTTGAGCATTACTGCGATTCGGTTTGGAAGGGTAAGGGTGCTGGTGAAATTACAGGCACTTGTAGTCACAAGTTTCTTGTCAACTTGTCAACTTAGTCTCATGGTGACGGGCGCAATGTCAGTGCCCCTCAGATCTTTGCGATGTGAAGCTCTAAGTGGCACTGCTACTGTTATGAACAGGCGTGTAGCTAACCATTAGGCGCACGACATGTTCGTCCCGTCAACTGATGTTATAGATATGATTTCTTTCGTAATGATTATAATTTACGGAATACCTAAACAAGCGGTGGTTGACTAATGGTTTAACCTACCGCCTCTCAAGCAGAAGTCGTGGGTTCGAGTCCCGACTTGCACCTCTGAGTTTTTCGGAATTTATGTGCGAAATTTAATTTTAAATTTACCATCAGCTGTTCGGTGAAGAAAATCATCGTGATGAAACCTGCACGTCGAAGAAGGTTCACAACCTGAATTAGGTCAGCGTGATGTGGCCTAAAACCCCAAAGAGATGACTCGTGCGCAACAGTGGGACGTATAAATGGGTAGTTTTGATGATGATGACAGAATACGTTACTACTGACTTTTGTATTTTAAAAAATCTCGCTATTTTTTCCTACTTTGACCACGTCTCGGGTATGAAAGTAAACAGTGGCCAGTTTTTACACGCTATCTCGCAACCGATCTATTACGGAAAAGGGAATTTTTAGTGCCACGTTGACATGTCTGACCTCACCCGTTTTTAGCGAACAATGAAGCGCCTTGGCTTTTGGTCTTGATAGATTTATTTAATGCCTTTTTGTCGCGAAGGTAATTAATTGCAAAGATCAAAACAGTCTTTTGTGATAGATGTTCTATGTGGTATTGATTACATTTTAGGTAACGTTTTAATGTTTTCCGTTATAAAATAAATAGTTTTGACTATTTTGTTCTGTTTAGTTGTTTACAATGCATTTCCTATATTCATTCAGACTGATTATAATTTTATTGAATTTAAATTTTAATCTATTTGTATATGTTGACATTCAGGTTCGATGGATGAAATATGTTGATGATCTGGATCTTGCTTTTCTTAGGTTCGGTGGACTCATAGGATCGGAATAAAATACTTGTTCAAAACTCAACTGACTGCTGAACACATTTATTGCTCGATTTGTTTGTACTTAAGTACTAATGGTCGATCTCCCAACTAGTAAGGGTATTGGCAAGTAGGCGGTTGGCATGGTGCGCGGGGTGCGGAGGCTCGCTCGGTGCAGGGTGCGGGGTGCGGAGCGCTTGTCATTCGTGAGCTGAACTTGATCTGTATATTTTTATTTCGCGCATGATAAGAATTATATATATATCAATTTACAACATAAACACTAACACAATCAACAGATTTTAAGTCTTGTCATTTTTCACTAAATTATTGTCATTTGTGACTTTTTTACTTATCCCATATTATAATTATTACATTTTTTATAAAAGAGTAAGTGCATCTTTGATCTCCATCTTACCTGATGGAAAGTGACGATGGGGTTGACGATGAAAACAATAAAGCATGCACACCTATAATTAATTAGGCATAGTGAGTATAATAGGCATAGTGAATAGGCTAATTCCTAAGCTAAGGCTAATGACTCGCCTTAAAATCGCCCAAGTTATAGCGTTCACGGAATAAGTTACCAAGCAGGGATTTACACTCCACATTGGTTGATCAGTAATATTGTTGGATCCCAGCTGAATCCGTTTCGAAACAGACCAGACTTTACTACAAGGAAACTCGTAATCTTCCATTTATTGAAGCTTCTTATTCTTAAGTAGACTGTATACACTTCTATGGAACTTATTTGAACATCTTATTTCTACGTCAATCTGACTTATAAGTCCAAATCGAATAACAATGAATCGCGAATGAAAATCGAAAATTGAATGAACAAATTCTAACAAGATTCTCGTATATATGTACCGATACGGTGTCATTATCACGGTACCGGCCCTATCAATGCTCAGCGGATGCCACCCGGCCAATCAGAGCCCCTGAATTATTTATTTAATTCTACTTTTATTTGCTCTGACCGGCTAGGCGCGTCTCGGAAGTCCTTAACAAATATAACAATAACAATACACATAGACTCAGACTAGGGAATTCTCTGTGCTGTGTGCCTATGAGTTTACACAAATTTTTTTAACAAACACACACAAAAACACAAAAATTTAAGAAACGGAATTCACTCCGTGGTACATTATATTAAAAAACGCCTAGACCAGAACCAATTTCAAAAAGTTCACTTCCCAAATTGGTTTAACCGGGTATCCAGTATCGGTATAATAAGAAAAAGTAAAGTGCTAGGAAAATTGTAACTAGTGATAATGATTATACTCGTAACTATTAATACAAAGATCGAACACTTAGAAAAAAATTCTTCGTTCCGGGCGGATTCGAACCGAAGTCTTCTAGCAAACTGTACCAGACGCTATGCCAACTAAGCCACGGAACGAACCAGTGGATCTCACGAATTTTTTATGTGCTTGTTGTCGGTACTTTGTATTTGGTTTTCAATGACTTTTTAGCCGTAGCGCCATCTATGAGAAATCTATGAAAGAATTTCGTCACCCAGTTAGATACCTTTACAGCTACCAGCCCTGGCTAGAGATGTCTACCGACATCAACAGTAATTAAATTTTTATACAATTCATATTCAAATTATTTTTGTAAAATGACTCCACTAGTTTATTATAATTATTATGCAAAGATCGAACATAGAAAAAATTCCTTCGATCCAGCCGAATTCGAACCGACGTCTCCTAGCAAATCGTGCCAGATGCTATGCGAAATACAATCAATTAAAAAAAAAAATTATTAGTGATGATGATTTTTTTATCATAACTATCCTATACCATATTATTCGGTGGTAGTAGAGTTCCTTGTGAAAGAGTTCGTCCAGGGTAGTACTGCCACCTTACCTGTTTCTGCCGCCAAGCAGCAACGCGAGCATTACTGCGTTCCGGTTTTGAAAGGTAAGGTGCTGGTGAAATTAGAGGCATACGGGGCTTGTCAACTTATGGACTTAGGGTGTCTGAAATCTTTGCGATTTTAAGCACTGAGTATCGCTAACCATCAGGCGTACGACTTGTACGTCCGTACTTGGTGTCATAAAAAAAGCGATAATATTTTGGTTCCCTAAAACGTGACATTTTTAGAAAACAATAACATGCCGTCTTTAAGCAAGTCACGAGTATAATGAAGGCAAAATTATCAGCAATGGAAAGTACTTTCATTTTTCATGTCTTTTTATTGGAAACTTTTAATAGCTTTCGTGACTCGTTCTCATATCTAGATTTTTCTTTACGATATCACGTTAATACTTTGTCATGTTCAGTGACTTTACGAACCGGGTTATTCTTCAAATTTTCTTATAATGTAAACGTCGCTTTGGGATATTTTTCCATAAATAAGGAGTATAATTCATGGCATGAAATAAAGAAAATATACACTGGATATGCACAATATAAAAAAGAAGAAATCTCATTAACGGCCACGTCTTGTTGCTTCTAGGCTCTTTATTTTTATAACATCTAGTGACGGGACGAACAAGTCGCGTGCCTGATGTTAAGCTACACGCCTGTCCACAACAGTTGCAGTGCCACTCTAAGCTTTAAGTCGTAAAGATCTGAGGGGCACTGCTACTGCGTTCGTCACCTTGAGACAAAAATTTATAAGTCCCATATGCCTGCTGCACCCTGACCATTCAAGACCGGAACACAGTAATGCACACATTACTGCTTGGTGGCAGAAATGGGTAAGGTGGCTGTACTTCCCTGTAAAAATAGTTCGCCCAGGGAAGTACTGCCACCTTACATATTACTAACACAACAAGTAACTCCATACAAACGTAGAGGCTAGTATTTGTGTACGCCAGTCACGCGCCGTGTATGGACGCACACATTCGCATAATAATGACAGGCGCGTGAGATGACTAGCGCTGTGCAACGCGAGTGCATCGCCGGATTACGATTATGCGAATGCGAACATCTGTACACGGCACGCGGCGGCCGCGCACTCATGCAAACCGCGCTGCTACGTTTGTATGGAGTATGGAGTACGTTTGTATCGATTTGTATTACATTACGCACATGAGTATTTATTACAATGTGCAGGGGTGTATCAAGAGCAATATACAATAGTAATTCTTAAGATAATCACAGTTCATACCGTGTATCTTTTTACTTTTGTAAAATTATATGCCAATAAATTTGCTAGTTTTCCGATCCGATCGAAAAGTAACCGATTACGACAATCCGGAGGTAAGGAATGGGCTATCTTTCAAATATTTATACGGGCTATTTTCAAATATTTATGGCTGGTAATTTATCAAATATTTATTAGAATCACATCCAACCGACCAATATTACCATATCCTTACGGCACGCTGGTATCACTTATAACAGTGAATATTTTTCTGAACATAGCAAAATACTTTTGAGCGTGTATTAGAACGGCCTTCAAGCCCGTATCCGATGTCGAATGTGCTTTCAGGAAAATTGGTGTCGCGCTATAGTGACATTTATAAGGAACAGACGTTACGATGGCGATCCATTTGCTAGAAGCATCACCTTTATTATTGCTTTCTCAGAAACTTCTTATTTGTCATTTATATCTACAATACACTATCGACATTATTTCCTTTCAGTTGGG